CCAGACCCGTAAAGTCGCGGCCGTGCCAGGAAGCTCGGGGCGAGCGTCACGCGGGGCCTCTCGGCGCAGGACGCCGGTCCCAGGCTGCCCTTTCGGAGCGAACATCTTCTGCAGGCACCACCCCAGCTGTTCCCCAGCTTCAGCACATTTTCCCTTTTCTTCAAAACTCACTTCACAAAAGATTTCTTTTTTTTTTTTCTTTTCCTTTTAAAAGAATAAACCCCTACATAGCCTTGGCTTGTTTCCTCTCACTAACTTTTTCAAAGAGTTCAGCGCTACCTGTTTGCCAGCTATTAAATACCTAACGTCTGGCTGATGGACAAGCAGATAGAGCAGGATGAAGCCGAGCTCTGCACAAGCCGCCCTTGTTCCAGGGCCTTCCTGAGCCAAAAAGAGAGAAAATCCCAGCAGACAGAGCTGCACAGCGATGCTGCGGACTGGCAGAAATCTCCTCAGGGCTCAGGCTTTTCTCCCCTCCCTGGCACAAGGCTAAACCTTTGAATCAGGAGGCTGCTTATAAATAAAAAGTGTTTGGACTTCTTGGCTGTTGGAGAGGTGCTCTGCTTAATTTAGCCCTGGCATTACTAATTGTGGAATCTATCCAATAAACTGACGGCTGAAGAACAATTGCTGCTATTTAATCCCACAAACAGGTTTCAAATCGGCCTTGCGCACTGTAAACCCACGGAACATCAAACACAAGATCTTGCTCCTGTCGCTGAAACGGGCACTGGGGTCCCCGCGGCCCAGGGAAGTCACCCGAGTCCAAGCGAGCGTTACCGCAGCCCCACGCTGTCTGCAAGGTGCTTCCCTTGGCCTCCAAAGACAAAACCTTTCCTGTTCTGACCCTGCCACCTTCGAGTGCTTTGCAGTCCCGTGATCCTCTTCGGAAATCACCTCCAGCCCGAAGGCTGTGGCAAACCCCTTTCCGCCACCCCTCTGCCCCAGCAGCCCACACCCTAACACACCCCAAAGGCTTCCAGCTGAACAGCTCGAAGAGATTAGCAGGAGAAACAGGGTCATTAATCAATCAAACAACACTGAGGGCATGTCAAACGCTTGCGTAAATGGGGGCAGCGCTATAAAAGAGACAATAATGGTGTCCTGAAGCGACGACAAAGCCATTTCAGCTGGCCTTGCAAGAGCAGACACTAATCACGGCCCCTGCTTGCTTACAGTTGACCTTTTCTTTGTGCAAAGCTAAAGAAGATTTGCTCTGGCCGATCCTTCAAAACGCAGCCGGGCTAATTAGGAAGGGTCCCATCCCTACAGCACAGCAAAGTTCCCACACAAGAGCCCCCAAAGCCTGAGTGTTGCTGAAACGATCCACGCCGCCGTGAAGTTTTCAGTAAGCGAATGCTGAAGCCGAGCAGCTGATTTACAGCACGAGACGCAAATAACAACAGCCCTTGTGCTCCCCGTCCCGCGGGCGTGCGGCCCCCCGGCATGCAGGGCCCTTGGGTACCCCAGAGCTGCGCAGGGAGCCGCGGGGCTACGACAAAAACCGGACCCCCAGGTTGGCGTCAGGTGGCCCGAGGATCCCCGGGAAGGCAGGGCAGGCTTAGAGCAAAGCCCGGTTTTTCTGACATCCCCCTCTCTGTGCACAGAAAGGCCATTTACGCCCAAGCTCAAAGAACACAGCTCCTAGAGAGTCTCAGCCCAAACCAAACCTCAAACGCTCCATTTACAACCCTTTCATCTACCAGACGTGGAAGATAACGAAGGAGTTCAGGACAACCCAGCTGCCTCCTCAGTTCAGAAACGGTCTCTGCAGCCACTCCAATACTGCTCAGCTCCACCTCATCCTCTGGTTTGCTGCCCCAGCAAAGCCCCACGTGCGGCAGGGAGGCAACGCCACGTGGCGGTGGTGGGGGAAAAATAGAAGATAAAGCTCTACCCTGACGGCACTTCGCAGGATTAAAAATCCACCGAGATGCAAGAGGCGACAGGAAAGGTGCTGAAACCCAAACGGGTAAACAAGACATACTGCAGACCCTCCTGAAAGAGCTGGTGCAGCCCCAGAGAGGTCTGCCTTCAGAGGGAGATGATTTAATGCGGAGAGCGCTCAAATATTATCACTTTCAACAGCTCAGGAGACCGGGAAGGACAGCATCTCCCCCCTGGAAGCCAGGCTGACGGGGTACCGCCTGCTTCCAGCCAGGGTAAACACAGGACTGCTGCGGCTCTAGGCTGGCCAGTAAAAATATCCCATGCTGAAAGGTACGATAAGAGGCCGGCCGGGACAGAGAGCAGCCTGCCTTTAAAACAAACACATCTGTATTTCTTTCCAGAGAAGAAAAAGTGATGCCACTCCGATCAGACACCGAGATTTCTGGAAGACGAATGACCCCACGGAATATCGCTGTGGAGCAACTTCAGTCACTCTGGGTTATTTTCATGCTGTTTCCATCAAGCAGCCTCCTCAGAAGCCCTCTGAGCGCATCCAGAGTCATCCCAGCGCTACCCAGCTCCGTTCTGGGGAGTTATTTCTCAGGAAGGCACTGTCGCCTCACATACCAGGACAGCTTCTTTTATAGGTGGCAGATGAGGAAAAAAGGATTCCCTAATTCTGTCTTTCCCAAAGCTGTCTTCTCTGAGGCAGCCTCCGGCCTCCCATCCTATCATTAAAATCCAGCCACAACTCACAGAGCCACCTCACGCTTTGTTAACTGGCAGAAAAATCCTGGGTTTTCTGTTTTTTCTATAACTCAATTCATCACTTCCAAAAGGCTCAAACGCTGTCGTGCTTTACACGGGTGCCCAAACTGCAACTGCTGGAGGTTCACCCACACTCGAGTTTTAACCGGGCTCTATAATATTCCAATTTTTCTGACTAACAACCACCTCTTACCTGATCAGAGCACCCCTTTCCCCAGAAAAGGGGCAAGGCTTCTCGCACCAAGGACCTGTTCATCCGGGGGGAAGCGAGCTGTGACCCACCTGCTCCCTGCGCCTTTCTCCTGAGCAGCCCCGAGGGCGCAGGCCACTGTTGTCCTCCTTTGCTGCCTCACACGAGTCCTGCAAAAAGCTTTACAGGGCAGTAAAAGAGAAGCTAATCCTCAGCCGACCGCCTTTCAGGGCCCAAAGAACCACCTTGATGTCCCTTGTCCAAGGGGGGGTAACGTCAGTGCAACTTGTATTTTCTTCCCCTCCAATATACGCCAGTCATTTCCCTTTTAAAAAAATATTTGGGGGTCTCAGAAATGCACGCTTTATTTTCAAAGCTGCAATCAATTATAATTGCAGGAACTGCTAAACATTTCCAAATGTGAAAGTGTTTTTCACCTCTCAGGTTCTGTACAGAAAGATGCCTGGATTTATTTTATTCATTTATAAGAGAGAAGCTACGATTTAAAAAAAAAAAAAAAAAATTAAAAAAAAAAATCACAGGGACAGTTCAAGGGCTGTTTATTTCCTAGAAAACCTCGTAACATGTGCAAACATGAGCCTGAGCAGCAGCACAGGATTGAGAACGCTTCCAAGAATTAGCCAGGCTCTAATCCTTTGGGGGTCAAAGGATGAGAGGGAAGCAGTATTTCATGTAATGTGTTTAGACAGCAGCTCGGAGAGCGTCGCTGGGGGGGTAAATCATTTGGACTCAGTTCCTATTGTGTCTGCAGCGTGACTATTTTAGGAACATAAAACAAAAAAAGCCAAACAAACTGAAAACTGCTTTTATACTAAGCAGCGTCTTCTCCACCTTACTTAAAACGTGGAATTTAAACCATTAGGATTAAAGCAGGCGCAGAGCTTTGAGTGACCAGCGGATCACAGCCGGGTCGCTGCGTTCCCTGCGCAGCCTGAAGCCAAGAGCATCAAGGAGGGTTTGGCCAATCCACAGTTTGTATCTGACAGAAACTCTTCTTTCTGTAAAGGCATCATCCAAATGCGACTTAAGGGCCTTTTAAGCATTTCTGAAGTGACACTCGTAGCAACAATTAATGTTCCTTAGAACAGAGGCGCCATGAAAAACGCACAAGAGCAGCTGGCTCTGGCGCTGCCCCCAGCACCGCCTGCTCCTCTCTGCCCTCCTAGAACGCAGCGTCAGGGCAGATGCTTTCCCGGATCTAACTCGCATGGTCCTTCCTGCCCCCGGTTCCCATGACTCCGGGGTTGGAGGGTTTTCAGGCAGGGAACGCCCCTCTCCAGCCCTTCTCGGCAGGGAACGACCAGCTCCTGCTGAGGACCATTCCATCAGCTCCCCCCTCCACACACCCACCGAGGAACCACGTGTCTCTGAAGGAAGAGATACATGCTTACGTATGTAAAAAAAAAAAAAAAAAAGTCTTATTATTAAAATGGTATCATCTAAAGATAATTTGAGGAACTGGTACTGCCCTGCACCTCGCAGACGGAGAGGTCAAGGAGGGACGAGGCACCTTCTCTCCCACCGGGCAGGCGGCGCGGACACCCAGCCCAGCTCTTAGAGGCCATCACGTTACAAATCAGAGCATCTCTGCGTTACCAAACACAGGAAGCTCAATAACCTCCAAGAGACAATATGTGTATTGCACAAAGGTTAATTAAATAAAGCTTAGCAGCCCCAAAATAAAGCCTAGCCGAAGATACAACTGATCCAGCTAGTCAGAGCTTAACGATTTTCCCTTCTGATGTGGCAGCCCACTGCCACGGTCCCCCAGGCTGAGCTTCACTCCGCAGGCCACGACCCCAGGATTTCTTTGTTTGACCCAACTTTAATCAGCTTCCTTCTCTGATTCCAGCAAATCCCTCCTCTGATGGCAGCCAGGAATAAAGGCTATTGTACAGTATGGAGCTACATTTCACAGCAAGTCACGATAAGCATTTCCTTTCCAAACATCCAAGTTCCCCAAACAGTATAAACAGCGGCCAAAAACAAAGCAGAGAGCAGATTATTGAGTTTTGAAGATAAAACAACCGTTAGGATAAAAAAAATAAAATAAATAGTGGGGCATCCCTCGCCCTTTATCCTCTCCACTTCTGACTCAAAATTAAAGGAAGAATTTGACGAGGCTGCTTACCGTACTGACAGCGAGGCCCTTGGAAGCCAGAGGAGCAGCGGCAGAGCTGCGAAGATCCCTCCACACAACTTCCACCGTTGAAACAAACTCCGTAACTGCAGACAGCTGCAAGGAGGAGGGAGAGGATAATTCCTGAGAGCATGATCAGAAGCGTACACGCACCAACACATACCCACTCACTGGTAAAGTTCCCGCAGCTCTGCAGCAAACTTCATTAGTTCTGAAAACACCGTTGAACCATTTTTGAAAATGTTTTTTTGGTTGGCAGCGCCACACTCAAACAGTACAAAGTCTCTCAAAAATTTAGGAGAGGAAGTAAAATACCTCAGGCAACGTCTCAGGGCTGTTCTTAAAAGCGTGGCTAAGTGAGAACGCACAGGAAAACATCAGCAGAGCTGCAGGGCTGTCGATGAAAGCGACAAGCGGGTAAAATAGTCAGAAAAACGACTCGTGCAGAATCACATTGGAACTTGTGGCAACAAAGGTAAAAGTTATTTATTTTGGAATTGGAGGCATCTTTCAGGAACAAACCCCTAGAAGCTGCTTTGCGCCTCCCCTCTGGGCTTTCCTGGAGCGCTGGGTACCCAAACGCGGCGTCACCTTCCCAGGGGACGGGAGGATGAAATAGAGCTAAACTGTAAGGGAGCCCGAGCAGCCACTTTGCTTTGTTCTCACCAAGTGAAGTGTAAAATGGACACAGGGACAGAGAATGCTCAATTAGGCTTCCGAAATCCACCTTTTCAAACCGTCTAAATAAAATCACAAACAAGGACGTTTTTCCAGTGAAACGCGTAGTTCTCACAACTCATGAAGCACAGCCACTGTTTTTCTATTTCCCACTAGAAAATGCTCATCTCAAAAGGAGAAGCCAAGTTAGCAGGCGATGCTGCCACACGTGCTGTGCTTTGTCACAGAGTAAGGACGTGGAACAAGCACGTAGCTTCCTTTTTAAGTCTACTGAAAGATTCAGACAAGGAAATCTTCTCTCTCTTCACTGATCCGGACATCAGAAAAGCGCCTTCCAGAATCAGCCTCTCCTCAAAACCAGCAGTCACACTTTTTTTTAAAAAAAAAAAACAAAATCAAAAAAAAAACCAACCTGGACTGCATGGGTCAGGGTAAAGAGTGTTTTCAAGGATTTCACTTTGTAAAGAGAAAGCCCGAGAGGTTTCAGACCGCCTGCAGAGTCCTGCGTGCTCCGGGCCACTCTCGGGACACGTCTGCAACTCCTCACACTGGATTCACCTCGCATGGGAGAACAACCCCGCAGCATCTCCTGCGGCGTTTCCCTGGGCTCACGGGTGCAGCTAAAATAAACGAATGAACGGATAAACTCCCGGAAAAGCCGTTTTTTTCCTTCTCTAAAGCTGCAAGGCTGCCAGTTCTGCATGTCCTGACTGCCGTAAGGAAAAAGTTGGAGAATTAAAGACATTTCCAGCAGGTACAGCCTGAGAACCAACCGTCAGCTCCCCAAGCGTGTTCAGGGAGGCCCCAGGAGATCTGGTGGCAGAGGCCGGCGTGGAGAAGTCCCCAACCAGAAGGCTGTGGGCCCTGCCCAAGGCCAGGATCAAATGGCACCTCTGAAGTTACCCCCTGAACGTACAGAGCCTGGGACTGAATTACAAACCTACGTATGATACGGGACCACCTGGAAGCAATCACAGCAGTGCTCACAGGACTGAGGTTTCCACACGCAGACTGTCTATCTGTTCCCTCCTATTTGCAAGTCGGGAGCCCCCCTGGTTTCTCTTCCCATTCCAGCTAATGCTGTAACTAATTACGAACAGAAAAAGCAGGTCTGCGATTACACATTTCATTTTGTGTGATTATAACTGGGGAGGAAAGGCACCACGTGCAGGCTTCAAATCTGGCTCCAAATATTTGGCACAAAATATTCTGTGCCTGCTCCAAAACACCAATTGTGCATTCAGGGGGAAAAAGAAAAAAAAAAAAAAAAGGAATCACAGATGGAAACAGTGCAAGGAAGCGTTTGCATTTTTCGGGCACGTTGGCAGGACATTTTGTGCGCACGAGAAGATAAATTTGCAACATTACCAACACATTCTCAACGATAATTTGGAACTTTAAGACATACGTGCAAAAATGGGAGATGGGAAAGGGCAGCTACTACCTGCACAGAAGAAATCCCAAGCTTGTGGGTGTCGGTTCGCCCCGCCTGAAAACAATCCTTCCCCCCCGATTACAGGTCTGCACTAACCAGAGGCGCGTTTTGGTGGCCCTGGCATCCCCTGCCATCAAAGGGGATTACCTGGGCAGCAGAGGCAGGTCCCTTCTCTCTCCCCACCCTCCCCTCCAGCCTCCTCTCGGTGCAGCGCAGACTCGTGTCCTCACGACTCCTGAACGCCGACAGGCCCCATCAGCTGCACAAAGCTCAGCGACAACTCGCTCCTGGCACCCTCTGCCTCCCGGTGAGTCTGGGCAGGGACAAATCAGCACATTGCTTTGGGGCTCGGTGGAAACGAAACCCCTGGGGCAAACCCTGGCGGTGGCCAAGGCCTGGGCGCTACGTTGTCAGGTATTTACATAATTTATCACAGTGCCATCGCTTACAGCCCACTCCACGTGGAAAGCTAACGACCACGTTACTAGGTTTCCCACTATTCTCCTACCGTTGGGTCTGGCTTTTCCTACAGAAACACAGCTGGCTGCCTCATTCCTCCTCTGTGCTAAACCCTGATACTGTCTCACGCGACGCCTCCGCCTGGTCTGTGGTGACGAAGGAGGTTTTGTGGTGGTTGAGGCGAATACAACATTTGGCCAATTGGCCCGTTTGCTATCAAAGCACAGGCTCTCACTAGGCAGAGCTCTGTCCCCACTGTAAGGAGGTTTCTCTCTCAGCTCTCCTACAGCACAGCCCTGGCTCTCGGCCCGGCTGGCCGCCGCAGCAGCTCCCCTGCAGCTGACCCAGCTCCAGCTCGCCAGCCCGAGCCAGAACTCCAGCTCGTTCCAACTCTCATTCTCACTGAGACCCCAACTCCCCAAACTTTGCACCTTAGATGCACCAGAGCTGAAATACTTAAGCCTCAGTGTTGGCTCTTTTAAGGATCTGATGATTTTTCAAATCCCCTCTCCAAAAAAAAAAAAAAAGATTCCTGAGTAAGACAAAGGTAGCATTGAAGTCCAAGCGCTCACCTACCCCGAGTAATGAAACAGCGATGAAACGTTGCAGAGAGACAGTTATCTTCTCATCTCACCTTTTAGGCGCTTTTCATAGCCACGTATCCCTGGGGACCACAGCGGTCCCGGATCAATCCCGTGCTGGGCTGCTGCTGCAGGACACGGGAACCTGGGAAAGCCTTTGGCCAGCACCCCGCGCCCCTCAGCCGCGCCGCACGCGTCCCTGCGCGTGTCCTCCCCGGGGCAAGGCGGGAGGGGCTCGGGGCAGGCAGCGGTTCCTTCCAACTCCCCATCTCCAGGTGCGTGCCAAGATTTTCTGGGGCTGCAGCCTGAAGTTTTTGTTAGTTCTAGTCTGGTGAGAAGTGTCGTCTGCTTTCTCCCTTTCCTTTGGGCCTCAACCCTACTGGAAATGACTGAGTGGCCAAATGGATTAATAAGGTGGTTTGGTTTTCCCCAAATCTTTCACCTTGATCACCTAAAAACCAGACTTCAGGCAGCGTCCCAGCAAAGCTCAGCCTGGCTCTACCAGCGGTGCTCAGCCCTCAGGGGGGAGTTTAGTGAGACCCAAAGCAAAACAATGGAAAATATTAGAAGCAATTGCAGCGACTCAAATCAGGGATTAGAAGACAGGGGTGTTATTCTTGGCTGTGCCCCAGATTTCCTGAATGAGCTGGACAATTCCCTGCTCTGAGCTTCAGGCTGGCACAGGGAGAGTGGAAATCATAACAACCCACTTCCCAGCCCGGTGGGGCCAAGGGGCCTGCGGGGGTCCCTCCCCTGCGCTTTCCAGGCCCTCTGCAAGCTGCTCCTAATGCAGAGAGACAGAATTTAAGGCAGTGAAACTTAGGAAAAGGTAACGACACTGTTCTGGGAAACAGGAAAGAAAGAATAAGTCACAGAAAACATCACCTTCTTCTGCTTGAAAGGCAACGATGTCTTTAGCAAGGATTTAGCAAGGAGGGATTCTTGGGAAGTCAGAGACAAGAGACTGATTTAAAAGGAAGAGTGATGGAGAAAAGCGTTTCCTCTACAGCGCAACACAGCCGACTTCTGCGTGGGCAAAGCTGGTCCCCCAGCGGAGCGTGCGTTGGGAGTTTAACTAATACAAGGCTTGAACCCAGGCAAAAGGTTCAGAAGTTCAGTCAAAGCCTTTCAGCTGACAAAACAATGAGCCTCCAGGAGCCAAGAGGTGATGTACAAAGGAAAGCCGGCCTAACAGGGAAATTAAATTGTTAACCGAACACATTTCCTGCCGAGACTTCCAACCTGTATCACAAATCATGGAGCCGCTCCCCCCGAGACTGGCCCTGTGGCTCCTGCGTGCCTGTGCATGCCTGCCCGTGCAGGCTCAGCGGCAAGCCAGGCTCAGCGGCAAGCCAGGCTCAGCCGTGCCCGTGGAGCGAGCCGAGCGTGGCTGCTGCAGCCGGCCCTGCTGAGCACTCCTTCCCCGCTCGCTGGGTGATGTGAGCAGAGCTGGCAGGAAGAAACGTGGTTCAGCGTGCGTAACTCCCTCTGGAGCCTTTTAATAGGCCATTTGTGACTAATAAAAGTTTCTCTTTTAATGAGGAGATTAAAAGTCAGCCGCCTTCTACTCAGCCCGTTAGGGATGCTTGAGGGGGTTTCATCGTGTCGCAGACTGACACTTCCTCCCATCTCCTCATCAAATGGGCAGTAATTCTCCTTCTTTACCTAGGGCCAGGTTCTACCTCTACCTGACGACCCTAACGCGGGCTGGATAAAAACTCAAGTTAAAGACAACATGGGCCGGTGATGACCCTTTTGACCAGCAGCTCAAGCCGAGCTCCTGCAGCAGCTCCAGGGAGACACCGGAGCAGCAAACGGCCCCCGGGGGAGGCTGCGGGGCAGCAGCAGCTCCTGCCCAGGGGCTGAACCCCTCCGTGGCCAGGCTGTGCTCACGTGGCTGTTCCGTCTCCTCAAGCTGGCTCGCTGACTCGGGTGTTCCCGTC